ATTTCGGGGTTTCTTTCTTGGATAATTTGATTTGGAGTCTATAATCTGTAAACTGGTTCTTAATAGTGCAGTGAGCTTCTCCTATTTTCGGAGCTCAATGTGGACGTAGCCTTCCCATTCTTGTAAAGGTGAACCACGATAAAATTGTGGTGTTGAATCTTTTCTGTGATTGCTTGATTTGTTATAGTTTTGTTAGGTTTGTGTGTGTATTTTTACAACAAGTGTCTTCCATGGCTTCTATGGTAGACCTGTCAAGTTTATGTCTGCTATTAAATCCATATTCATTTCTTTTTTGCCTCTTCTTGCTACCACTGTTCTTTGTCAAATAATCGTATCTGTGATTATTGCCTTTTTTGTGATTGTGTTGTTTTTGGTCGTTAAGTTTGTTAAGTTTGTTGGTTTTCAATGTGAGTACTCGTACTCTTCTCCCTTCTTTATGGGGTGTGTTTTGCTCCTCATTACTTTTTTATTGTTGATTTTGGTTTATTTGCAAGTAAATTGGGCTTTGGTGTCTGTGGTAGTGGTGGTGGAATCCAGTTGGGGGTTTAAGCCATTGAAGAGAAGTCAAAATTTGGTGGATGGATATAGATTTGTGGCTTTGTCTTTGAGTTCATGTTTTGCATTTTCTGTTGGGATTTTAATTTGGAGCAGCTTGGATTTAGTTTCTCGTTTTGGTGGTATCAATAACGGGTGGAGTTGGGCATTTGTGTTACAAATAGTGATTGCTTCAACATTGCTGATGTTGTTGTTCCTTTACAACATTGCGGCGAATATAGTGTTTTATATGCTTGCAATCAATGTTTTAAAACCTAGCTCGGCCCAACTGGTTAAACTGGTTCAACCAGGACTCGGAAGCTTCAACGGGCTGGGTTTAATTTTTTCCTATTCACCCAATATCCTAGGATTTCCAGTGATGATCGGTGAACAATTAACTGTCGAAATATTGGGGCTTTTTAAGAGCTATTTCCGGTGAATGTAATGGTGGTGAAAGATTTGATTTTCGGTGAGTAAATCGACTGGAAATCAAACAAAACTGGCAATGGCAACGATGAGATTTTTTCGACGATTTACCAGGCTAACGGGGGTGGGGTGAGGGGGGGTTTTGGTCGTCGCCGCTAATCAGTTGCCAATCGATTTGCAGTTGGGGTATGTTTGATAAATTTCAAACCTATAGGGACTTACTTGTAATTTTTAGGGGTATATTTGCTAAATTTTAGAAGTTTTTGTCAACCGATCAACCCGAGATCCAGAAGCTTTGCCGGGTTTCACCCTGGATTGGGTTTGAAAACATTGCTTGCAATGGAGATTGCTGAGGAATTTTCCAAGGAATATGTGGGCTTGCCTTTTGATAATGGGAAAGTGCCTTATCTTGTTTCTATTACTTATAATGTATACTAGGTTCGCTGACATTTATTTTTTGTTTGTACTTTGTAGTTGGTAAGTGGTGTACTATCAAAGTAAAAGTATGTGAATACGTAAAAATCTGAGATGTGATCAATCTTTGAGTTTCTTGCGATGTTCTGAAAACTGGACCGGACTATCCGATAGAAACCAATTCGACCGGCAACCGGCGGCAAATCCAGTCCGGTATATATAAAAAACCATCATTTTGATTTAAACCAGATTGGACCGTGGTTGGACCGTCAGAATAGTGCCGAATCACGGTCCAATTGCAGCTAAACCCCACCAGATTCCGGCATCTTTCGACGGAGAAAACACCCCCATTCGACGAACAGCATCTCCATGACCAAAACCATCCATTTTCAGTTGCTACCATCCAGCCTACATCGATCGCCGTCCACTTAAAGTTCACATGATGTCAGATTTCTTTTGTTGATTCCGGCGAGTTTCGACGACGATGGAACTCCCTAGCACCACCATCAGAGTCGCCGGCACCTACACATCAAAAGCCCCAAGATTCCAGCTTCAATTAGCCGTCGATCGTCGCTGCCGCCACCACTCACTAGAATCTTCGCTTGATAGGGGTGTTTTAGATAGATTTCGAACCATAAGAGAGTATTATAGGGGTGTTTTTGATAAATTTCAAACCTTTAGGGATTAACATGTAATTTTATAAATTACGGTCCAATCGACCGATCCAACCAGTCAAACCAAAAACTGGACCCTTGAGCGGGTCATTATCCGGTCCGATTTTCAGAACATTGGTTTCTTATGCTTCATTTTGGTCGGACCTGCAATTCTGATTAGGTTAATTCGTAATAAACTTTCTATGTCAATGCCATGTCCGTAGCTTGTCAGTGAAGATGGAACTATGTATATCTGCTCGAACACTGACTGATCTGGAAACTTTTGTATTTTCATAAATTTGTTGAAGCAGAACTACATAAAACAACATTTGCAAGTTCAATTGACTGCACAGCTTTATAATCAGGAATTAGGAATAGAACCTCATCCATCATCCTTCTCAAGACTATATAACTCACCGCACAAATACAAAAGGCTAATACTATACTTACAACCCAATCTCATAAATTTTCTCTCACAACTCCAACATGAAAATAATTGATCAGCTCGTAAATAGGTCCCGCCAGCTCACTATGGGTCCCACTTATCCAATTACGAGTTGATCAATTGGGAGCTGACATGTCGGGATTATGAGAGAAAGTTTGTAAAATTGGATTGTGAGTCAATCTTTATTGAATACAAAAATGGACACAAAGCTAGTAACGTCAACTCTTAATTAAGCCTCTTAATTTTTATTTATTTATTTTAAGCAACAATTCAATGACCTATTAGTTTGTGTGTTATGGATGGTTTGGACAAGGATTTATTTGTCAATGTCTTCTAATTTTAGGATGGGATCGACCAAAACTTATTTGTCTATTAAATAATAAAATTAGAGTAAACAACATTTTCCCACCCGAGGTTTGCCTTAATGACACTTTTCCACCTAAAAAATTTCAAAATACCACAACCCTGCCCAAAGTTTATATTCCGTTAAATACTCAAATATACTTCACTTTCTCAACTAGGGTTCGACAAGTTACCAGGAGTCAGGGTAAGAGGGATTTGTAGAGTGGAGGCTGGTGGATCCAATTGTCACGACCAAGGGCTATCCTCCATCTTGCCCTACTGCGAGCTTAGCCTGATGGTACTCACAATGCTTCTTAATTGACTATAGCCCCTTGGTCTTGGGTTCGAGTGGTGGGGAAGGCGAAAGAAATCCCTAAAGGGGGGGGGGGGGGGGGGGGGGGGGGGGGGGAGATATTCCTATGAGTCCGACTGAGTGAGGAAAGCACCTGAGCTCACAGTAGCGCAAGATGGAGGATAGCCCCCGGTCGTGACACCAATGGTGGTGACCGATTGAATATTCATCTCCGGAAATCAGCTAAGAACAAAAAACCCTAGCTTTGTGGTGGCTGATAATAGGCAAGAAATCATGTGCCAGAGTGAGAGGGATTTTATAGGGAGGAGACTGGAGGTTCAAATGGTGGTGACAGAGAGAATTTTCACTGCTGAAATCGGCTTTGAGTAGTAACAGAATATTAACTTTGGGTGGGAAAGTGGTATGCTGCAACTTTTTGTGTGGGAAAGTGTCATTAAGGAATACCTTGGGTGGGAAAAAGTTGTTTACTCTTAATTAATAATATACGTATATATAATCCGAAATTATTTTGTTTGACCAACCAAAACTTAATTATTGATTTCTTCATCATATCAAAAGTCAAGACAAAGACCTATTCATCTTCTAGTTTTAATTAAGAGTAAACGACATATTCCCACCTGAGGTTTTGCGAAATCCCAAGGATGTACCCCTGGTGGGCGGGTTGCATTTATTCCAAATTCTTACCCTTAAAGCGACAGAAAAGTGTTTGATGTAAAGATAAAGGGATAAATTGATCATTTTGTAGGAGACAACACACGTTAGCAGATCGCCACTTCTAACAGTGCTTTGGCACACGTTAGCAGACATCACCCTTGACATTTTTTGCCCTTTTCCGACGATTCTTCCACCCAAAATCACCCTTGTCACCACCAGTTGAACCTTCATCCTCCCCTCTACAAAACCTTACCCTTCACAACCCCTCATTGCTCGCTAATTGCCGGCCTCGCAGCTGCAACATGCTTCTATTTTTTGTTGATTTTCTATCGTTTTGAGCAGCGACAGCCACTGTTTGACTCATCGCATCACCCTAACAAAACCCCTAACCTTCTCGGCCACAACAACTCATCGTTTGCCATCCACCATTTCACTAAAAACACGATGAACATGAACCTCTTTACTAGCGAACGACAACTAAACAATTGGTGGGGACATAGGCGCTTTGTAGAGTTAGAGATGCTGGTTGTAGTGGTGATGTCCAATTGGATTTTTACCATTGGAATCCGATGAAGAACAAAAAAACCCTAAACCTAATAGCGTTGGTGATTGGAAGGGCCAATGAGTCAGGAACCAGAGGGGTTTTGGACAACGGATTATGGGGAAGGTGGTGCAAGTGACCAAGGGGTTCAATGCCGTCAGAAACAGCATAGATCGGGCAAAAATCAAGAGGGTGTGTAGTTGTCGAGGGAGTTATTAAAATAAATTAAAAATAAAATGTTAAATTTTATAATTGTACTAATTTAGGGGTTAAAACATAATTTATTAAATTATTTGTTAAGGGCATTATGGTAATTGCATCCTATGTAACCTAAAAAATGCTAATAGTGCTACTTTAAAGGTGGAAATTTGGAATAAATGCAACAATGGGTACCAACTTAGGATTTCACCAAACCTCGGGTGGGAATATGTCCTTTACTCTTTATTTAATTCAAGTTGGCATAAAATCAAGGAAATTTTCATTTTTATTGTCTTCCCGTAGGTGAACTCAATACGTGGGAGACAAGTTGTTCACTTGGTCAAATTAACAATGCATACATATGAATTTCACATCAATTATTTACTAATTGAATGATTCTACAACACAACACAACACCATCTCTCTTCTTCTTCTTCTTCATAAATTCATAATCACCCTTCTCTACAGTGTGTTTATCTCTCATCATCCACCATGTCAACTCCTCCGGTCATCGTCCACATAATAACCTCTGAATCAAAACGCATAATCAAGCAACACTCACTTCACTTCAGGGTTCTCTGCGTCGTCCCCATTACTTACTCTATCTTCATTTACCCGATCCTCAAACCTCAACTCCTTCTCCTAGACCAAAAAAGTCTTATTCTCACGCTCTCTTACACGGCCTATGTTTTTGTTTTATCACTCTGTGCTATATCCTCCATTACCTACAGTGTCTTCAAAGGATTCTACGGTAGACCCGTCAAGTTTGTATCTGCTATCAAATCCGTTTTTAACTCTTTTCTGCCTCTCTTCGTTACCACTTCTCTTTGTCATATAATTTTATCCGGGGTTCTTGTTATTTTTGCAGTTGTTATGCCTGGGAAATCAAGGGCTGACGTGGGAAATCACGTGATGGGGGGTGACATGCTCCCGTCAGAATGGTAAGCACACGTCAGGCCTGCAAGACGCCGTGGAGCTCCTACATGTCCATTCCCTGCTCCAAATCACGTGAAATTAGCTTGGAAGGTGGGCAATGTGACGTAAAGCCGGATTTAGTCCTGACATTCACACCAACCCACGGATTTAATGATGATTATCTGCACTCATCTCACTATAAAAAGGAAAAACCCCTTCATTGAGGGGATTCGGCATTTTTACACTCTGAACTAGCTTTCTCTCTCTCTTGTATCTTTGTATTTACTTTTCCCTAATCATTTATAAGTCAGTCCGCTGTTACGACCTGACCCACGATTCTAATACAACTATCAGTGAACGTAGGATTTGCTACCTTAGCATCCGAACCACTTTAAAAAGCTCTTATTGTTGCATTTACTCTACATTTTATCCATAATCACATGTGTCTCTTGACCAATCAACGTTACACACGTGTCGATTAGTTGGTATCAAAAGCACGCATCAACAGTTTGGCGCTAGAAGGAGGGCCAGATTTAGTGTTCATCCTTCATCAGGAGAATCTCTAACCTACTGGTCCTACAGCAACAAATGGCCCGCCAATCTAAACCTGAGCAAGCCAACCAGCGCGCTGAGGGAGTTCCCCTAACCCAGGGGGATACCTCTTCTAGAATACTTCTAATTCCACAAAATGCTACGGTCGATATCCCAGCAGCCTCGCAGCTTGACCCCGCCATCAGAAGCTACCTAGAAAGGCTCGACAATACTCTCCAGATAGTCAACTAGAGGCTGGACCGTTTGGACCAGGGCGTGTCATCTAGAACAGCTGGGGTGGTGCAATCACAAAAAACGCCTGCAGGTCACGCGAAGGCACGGAAGGCGCGGCAAAGGGAAATAGCCAGTGCCGCGAGCACTACAGCGCGTAGACGTAAGGGTAAGCAAGTGGCAAAAAGCAAGTCTACAGGCTCCAAAGGGCCAACGAACACAAACCATGCCCTAAGCAGGGTGCCGGCAAAGCTGAGACTTGGCGAAAAAGTGAATCCCGAGCTGTCCCATGCCACTTCACAGATGAACCCAAGCAAAAGTACTGGGCGGGGTGATTCTTATCACCGCCAGCAGAATGATCCTAATCGTTATTATGCGGGTGGTCCCCACACCTCGCGGGGAGGTTCGTACCACCGCGAGGGTCTAAAAATACCTCGCACCATCCATCGCCTTCACACACCTCTAACCAGCGTGTGTCAAGAGCGGCCGGAAGTGCCGATCGAGGCAAAGAGGAGTCTGACCTCCGTACTTTCCTGAACCGTAATCACGAGGGTCAGACTCGCATGGGTGAAAGCAATCCCTAACTGGCTCCATTACCACAAATTGAGAAGCTGCAGCGAGTTCTGGATAGGCTGAGAGAGTGGCAAAACAAGCAGGCCCAAGTCACCTCTGCATCCCCCTTCTCTCCCGAAGTGTTAGCTACTCCACTCACACCAGGGTTCAGAATGCCCGACATGCGGCCGTTTGATGGGAACCATGACCCGCAGGATCATTTGTATGAGTTCAACGACCTGATGGAGCTCTACCAGGTTTTGAATCTTGCAAAATGCCGTTGTTTGGCCGTGACTCTAACTTCTCATGCCAAGCAGTGGTTAAGGTCGCTCCCAGCGGGATCGATTAGTTCGTGGCCTCCGATGAGCATGATGTTCTTATGGCATTTTCAAGCAAATCGAAAGTTTTCGATGCCTTTAAGCTATCTCAGCAACATAAGGCAAGGAAGTGATGAATCCCTACAATCCTACATCGACCGTTTCCACAGGGAACTCAACAAGGTGCCTCATGCCCCCGAAGAGTCCATCCGAACGCTCATAATAGCTGGAGTTTGCATGCAAACCGACCTGTGGAAAGAATTACAGGCTGAGGACGATGTTTCCCTTACCAGATTCTACAACCTCGTAGAAAAATATCTCCGAATAGAGAATTCATTGGCGGCACTCCGCCATCGCGATCCCGGCGCTTCAAGCAGTATGTCTGGCCGGGGGGAAAGTAGGAGAGCAGATCGCAGAGGAGACATTGACGATCAGCGAAAAGGAAAGAAACCCCGCTACGAGCATAAAAAGTCCTATGCTCATGTTCCTCGTCATGACAAAATTCAATACACTCCGCTGAATGTGTCCATATCTGCAATTCTTGACAAATCCGAGGAGGCTAGCCTGCTCGGTGAGCCGGAACCCATGAAAACCTCTGCTACGATCAGAAACAGCAAAAAATACTATCGTTTCCATCGGGACAATGGGCATCACACTGATGAATGCCGAGCTCTAAAGCAGGCAATCGAAGAGCTCATCAAGAAAGGGCATTTCAAGGAGTATATTGATGACTCTGCTCCAAAAGAGAACCAAGAGGAGCAAAAGAAAAAGCGTCATGATCGCAGTGGATACAATAGTGTTAACATAATCTTCGGAGGCCCGCACCTCGCAGGAAACATGCGAGGTGCGCAGGAAAGGTACGCTCGCGAAGCATATCACGACTTGATTAGGGTAATGAACACATCGCAGTGACCACAAAAGGCTCGAAAGGAGGAGCCGATCACCTTCTTTGAAAAGGAAGCAGCTCGCCTGCACCATCCTCACGACGACGCCCTAGTGACCACGCCCCTCATAGGGCACCATAACGTCTGCAGAATGCTCGTGGACAACGGAAGCGCTGTGAACATCCTGTTCTAGACCGCTTTTGAAAGAATGAACTTGGACGAGGCCAACCTGAAGCCCGCCTCGATCCCCCTCTATGGCTTTACAGGAGACCACTTGATCCCCAAAAGGACGATCCGACTCCCGGTCACGCTGGGCTACTATGACGAGGTAACTAAGGTAACTGAGTTCTTGGTCGTGGATTGCCCGTCCGCCTTCAATGGGATTCTGGGGTGACCCCTACTAAGAAGCTTCAAAGCAGTCACTTCCATATACCACCTTAAGATGAAGTTCCCTACCCCAACGGGGATAGGGGAAGTGAGCGGATCGCAAAGCGCATCTCACGACTGCTACGTAAAAGCGGTGCAGATGGCAAGTAAAGGAAATGGTGTTCTACGAAATGCGCCCCGACAGGCTATGGCGATCAGCAGGATTGAGCCGCAGCCTGGCCCAGCAGAGGATAATATGGATCCTCGAATTCAGGGGATCCCTTCCAGCGGCCCAGTTGGGGACTTATCTGAAGTGTCAGTCGACCCGAAAGAGCCAAGCCGAGTGCTAAGGGTTGGGAGCAGTCTCAACCCTCAGCTCGCGTCCAAACTGATAAACTTCTTAAGAGAAAACATTGACGTGTTTGCCTGGTCGCATGCAGATATGGTCGGGATCAGCCCAGACATTATTTGCCATGCATTAAACGTCGACAATAAGGCCAAACCGGTTTGCTAGAAAAGAAGAGCAATGGATCTGGAGTGGTATGCTGCATTAAAATCAGAAGTGGAAAACCTCTTCCGAAATGGGTCCATCCGAGAGGCACTTTACCCGACCTGGGTCGCCAACTCGATCCTGGTAAAGAAGCCGAACGGCAAGTGGCGGACCTGCGTTGATTTCAGCGACTTCAACAAGGCTTACCCGAAAGATAGCTTCCCTCTGCCGAAAATCGACCAGCTCGTGGATGCCACCTCGGGGAACGAGCTACTAAGTTTCATGGATGCATACTCGGGATACAATCAAATCCCGATGTATGAGCCAGACGAGGAGCATACGTCCTTCATTACAGACCGGGGGATGTATTGTTATAAAGTTATGCCTTTCGGTCTCAAGAATGCTGGCGCAACCTACCAGCGGCTGGTTAACCGAATGTTCTCTGACCAGATCGGAAAAATAATAGAGGTCTATGTGGATGACATGCTGGTCAAATCCCAAGTCGCCTCAGAACACATTGCACATCTCGCTGAGATGTTTGACATCCTCCGACTGTACAGAATGAAGCTGAATCCTCTCAAGTGTTCGTTCAGGGTATCGTTACGAAAGTTCCTGGGGTACATGGTTAATCAGTGAGGGATAGAAATAAACCCCAAGAAGATTCAAGCTCTGCTTGATATAGAGAGCCCGACCAGCAAAAAACAGGTCATGAGTCTAAATGGGCGAATAGCAGCACTTAGTCGCTTCATATCGAGGCTAACAGACCGCTGCTTGCCATTTTTCAATGTTCTGAAGGCCAAGAAGAAATTCGAATGGACTCTCGAATGCGAACAGGCGTTCCAGAGTATAAAGGAACACCTCGGGAAGCCATCTCTCCTCTCTAAGCCTCTTCCACAAGAAATCCTGCTCCTCTACCTGTCCGTCTCTCAGTTTGTGGTCAGTGCAGCTCTAGTATAGGAAGAGGAAAAGGCGCAATGGCCAGTGTACTATGCAAGCAAGTGTCTGACAGATGCCGAGATGCGGTATCTGGAAATGGAACGACTAGCCTATGCTCTGCTGATCGCATCCAGAAAGCTGCGACCTTACTTCCATGCCCATACAATCCACGTAATGACTAATTACCCCCTCAGGCAGGTCTTCCAGAAACCAGAAGCCTCGGGTAAACTGCTCAAATGGGCCATAGAATTAAGCCAGTTCGACCTGAAGTACAAGCCCAGGTCGACCATCAAAAGGCAAGCTGTTGCTGACTTCATCTCAGAATTTTCCTATCTTCCAAGCGAGCAACAGCCTGGCGAAGCCATCCGGGAAAGTATTCGAAACCTGTCGACCTAGAACCTTTACGTCGACGGGTCATCAAACAGAAAAAGAGTCGGTGTGGGTCTTCTCCTTGTAAGCCCTGAAGGGGCTCGAATTCATGGTATTCTCCAGCTTGGGTTTAAAGCGACCAACAATGAGGCTGAGTATGAAGCCCTGCTCGCCGGGTTGTGACTTGCGAAAGAAATGGGTGCAACCGCGATCAGTGTTTACAGCGACTCCATGCTGGTCGTTGATAATCCGTGGATTATACAGTTTTCATTAGACT